ACACACACACACACACACACACACACACACACACACACACACACACAAATATGCTAAGATACATACGAGCTATTCCAACAGCAAAAGGTAGTGGTACCCAAGGGCACATACCATTGCCCAGGGAGCAGTTCCCTTGAGAAAGAAGGGAAGGGAATGGGATTCTTTGAAAGCAGGACTTTACATGGGCTTACACCATATTTCTTAAAATGCAAGAGCTAAAGAAAAAAATATGGCAAAATATTAACTTTAGCATGTACATACATATGTTTGTTTTCTTTTCCTCTGTACTTTTCTGCAGGTTTGAAATAATGCCTAATTAGAATTCTTATAAAAGTTATTGTTTATACTTGGAAATGGTTAAGACAGCAAACTTTAGGTTATCTGTATTTTACCACAAGTAAAAACTGTTTTAGCAATTTGTAAGACGCGTTCATTTGCCAGACCTAAGATAGCAGGTCTGAGGTTGGTGTCAGGAACAGCCATCTGACAATTAGTCTTTTCCCAATGGAACCCTATGTGAAGGCTGGCATTTTCTCACGCTTCAAGGAAGGCTGGATGGGATGACTTCCAAGCAGTGCTGGAGATGTGCTTTTTGCTCTCAGTGATGGCTAATCTAGAAAACTTTCAAGATCCCTGCATATCTTCAAAGATCTCAACACACCTCTGTATCTCTCTAGTGTACAGAAATTCAGTTTGACAGAAACCTATCATGTTTCTCTAAGTTATCAGTAGAGGCACTACTTCTTAGCCATGATGACTTTTAACTGTACTGGATGTAAAATCCTATAGCTCTAGGAAAAGTCTGGACTCTGACTCTTGGCACTAATTGGTACCTCTGGAACCTTGAAGCCTTTGTTTTAGAGCCAATAAAAGGAAGTCCACCTTATATATCAGGGAAGTTCTCAACAAAAGAGCAGCGTAGATCCAAAATGGGATGTTTGAAGGGGCAAACATTCTTCACTCTCCAGGTTAGCCACCTGATGGGTAAGATACCCTCCTACAAAATGCCCCTTGGTACAAAACACTCAGGATGTGATTCCAGGAGGGATGATGGTTCCGAACCAACATGGCATGGAACAGTCTAAGCACAGATCCCTGCCTTACACTCAGGACTTAGCTTTCTTCCTCCTATTCTGTGGATGATAAAGGACATGTGACAGAGAGTCTATATACACCAGCTGCTCTTGGTGAATGAGGAACAGCCAGTGAGCTATGCCGCTGGGCAGATGTGGTGCAGGACAATAGATTATTTCATATTAATTCACACTAATCGAGCTGATAGGGTACGCCAGTCACTGTGCAGGTTCTTTACTGGCCACAGACCCCAACGTGTCTCCCGGGGACTCAAACACTAAAAAGACCTGGTTATAAAGTGATATTAACTGTGAATCACAACCCTCCAAATCTATCCCTGAGGGCAGCCTGTTTATCTTAGGCTCAGACATCTATTTGATGGTGTGTGTTTCTCTATCTTATCAGTTAATTTAGAGGGACTGCCTATTTAGCGGAAGTGAATTTAACCTAACAACACTTGCTTCCATTGTCTCTCGGGCCTGATACATTTCAGTAATGTATAATTCTTTTTTCCACTATTAACCATGGTTTTGGCGTGTCTTTTAGCAACAGAAATGCTATTAGCTACTGATATCTCTGAAGCAGAGTCCTTGAAAGAAAACGCATTTGAACTCAGTAACTGGAAAGGATACTCCTTTAAGATGAATGAGTTCAGGGATATTTTTGATGTCAGATTGAAAAATACAGAGCAAGATAAGACTAAGTTAATGGAGCAAAGGATATGGTATATCGAAATAGACTTCATAAAAGCTGTGAGCTCACTGATAATCCTGTTCACAGGCTGTAAAAATAAGCTATCATTTAGGTTGGCAATTTGTAGGCCAATTAATGTGGAATTCTGTGCTCTACATATTCACTGCAGAGAGACATAACGAAAGCTGACGAATCTCATATATTCACCAACCAGTCTACGCAATAAGAACAAAATTCCTTGTGTGCTCTGAGAAGTAATCACCCCTTAGCTGGGCAAAAAACTCCCAGCTGGTCAGTCACTTTTATGGTCAACTGTCCTAATGGCCTGCAGGGGAATCTACCCATTTCTTGGGAAAACGGTCATTCCATTCTTGCAGACACTTGGTGCAGGATCATCAACTATCATCTAGAAACACGCCCGGAAAGGTAGCGGCGGCACAGGAGGCTTTCTTTTGTTCCCGCGTCTGCCCTGGGAATTCATGGCTTTGTGCTGTTTGAGCTTGGCTTTGGAAAGAACAGGACAGAATAAGTGACTCCAGGGACCTAGCACACGCGGGCAGCGTAGGCGGGGCCTGCTGTGGCGGACCTCACGGGGAACATCTCTGTGTGTACAGGGACTTACTGTCATATTCCTGTAACAGCTCCACCGCTGTCAAGAGAACAGCTCTGTGTTCCGGGTCCCTGATATTTAACTCATCCAAGTCTTCCTCCTCCAGCAGCTTAAAAGTGTCCAAATCTTCATATCCATTGAACAGGAAAGTGGGCATGTGCTCCTGTGAGAGGGAGAAGGAAGACAGAAGGGAGTCAGCCAGCCCAGCCACACCATAACACTGGCAACAACTAGCCTGCCACCCCCGCGCGCTTTTCCCATAGTCATCGTTATGCTAATCAAAAGATTAGTAAGTATCATTTGCAATGGATCCTGTACGTCCCAGTCCTCCAGCTCAGCAGGCAAGCAGGGTGTTTTATTAATCATGGGTTAGGAAGATGTACATCATAGGCTGTGATGGATTCCGCTGGCTTGCATTATAATTGTACCCTTGATAAGAGCTAATTCCTGTACCTCCGCAGAGCCCACAACAGAGGAGACTCCTCCTTCATTTACAGAGCTATTAAAATCCAGCTTTTAATTCCTCAGGATCAAGAGTTTTGCAAAGAGGAAGCACAGTCTCTCATTGCAGACTGGCGCTACTAGATGCTGGCAGTGATGGTGGGAGAGAGGTGGGAGCAGAGTTTCTTTGCAGCCCGTGGAGCTACCTGCGGGCGAGGTGCCAGGGGTTTCAGCTTAGAGCCCTTCCAGCAGGAAGCTCTGACCCGGGGCTTCTGCTGTCACCCACAGCCGAGGTCCAAGGCAGTGTTAGAAAACCAGTCACTTTTTCTGTAGAATAACGCATGCTCATCATAGTAATGGGCCGCCCTTATTGGACCACACAGATCAGCCCCGACCCTACCCTAAAAATGCCCTCACTTGCTTAGTGTAGGAAAGAAAAAGGCCACGAGGGAGTAGTGTGTGGCAAGAATCAAAAGCGACTGACTTTCAGGTTAATCCGATCCAGGAGATCCTCCACAGACTTGGGCTGGGGTGGTCTTCCTTTCCGCCGCCTCCTGGTGGGGCGCTTGGGTTTCTCCTCATCCTCACTGAGCACGTCCACGTAGATGAACTTGAACGTGCCGACTTTGTTGTTCAGCAGGCCCATCCAGGTCCCCATGGGCGGCTTGCTGATTATATCAATGATATCGCCTTTCTGTGGCCCAGGGAGCAAAGATCTTTCCATTAGGTACATTCCATGAATGTACAAATCATGAATCTGGCAGATACACAGGTTACGTAGAAATGAAGATGCCGCAAAGGCCAGAATCGGGGTCCCACAAGTCACCCTTCTGAGTGACCCACATAGGATGTAACTGTGAGCTCGGCAGAGGCCAGACAGGTGTCTCTGACTGTAAGGAATTCCATGCAGGCCTCCGGTCACAGCCCCTCCACCCTCCTGTCCTGCAGGACCAGGGGTGCCTGGGGTACCCCTGGTGCTCTGAGCCAGGAAGCCCACCCGGCACTCTGAACGCCTTCCCGCTTCAGAGTGCTCCCACTTCTTGGAGAAGGCACTCCCCACCAGTCCGAACCAGGCGATCCCTGCCCTGTTAGGGCTGCACACACTTTGTGGAACCTCATCTGTCCCATAAATGTATCTCTGTGCACACAGAAGGCAGAAATCTTTCTTCAGATGGAGAAAACACAGAAATCAGGTGTGTGGGGCTGGAGTCAGTGCGGGGAGAGGGAGGGTGTGCAACGGAAATTCTAAAGGGAAGCTGAGGTCAGAAGACAGGGTCAAAGGAATAAATTGATGATGGCCCAGGGATTAACACAAGACCCTCTGCCTTGTGGGCTGGCAGGGTCCTGTTGTGTTTTTCACTGCAGAGGAGACCAGTGAGCAAGGTAGCCAAGATACTGTGCAGTCTGTACGACAGAAGCCCAGCATTCAACAGGAAGAAGGCAAGACAGCCTCCTAGAGAAACGGGAGAACCCAGTTAGCTGCTCTGAGGCCAGCAAGAGAGATACCTTGAGCTTGAGCGAGTCTGTGTCATAGGGACTGGGGGTGAAGTCGGTGTGCACCCTGGCACGCCCGCAGAACGGGCCTCGGTAAGGCGGCTCTTCGTCATCCCCATCTTCCGACTTGACGCTTTCCCGGTTGCTGGTTGAGGAATCGGTGGTGCTCACTGTTTGACCACCTGTATAGGAAGAACAAGGGTAGCTACAGATTTCCCACCCAGCAAAGCAGAAAGGTACTGAAGGCGTGGCAGATTAGGAAACGAAGGCCCAGAGAGAGGAAGCTTTGAGCTACAACCCTATGTCAGAACCAGAGCAGGGCCCAGTGAGGAATTCTCTGATTGTTATCCCTAAGCTCCTCACAGGACAGGGGACTCACAGCAAGTTACCCTTATGAGCTGGGAATCCACGTGGCACGGAGGCTCCTGCGTGGAGGACACGGCAGGACCAGGAACTAGACCCTGCTCTTAACGTTCGTGACCTCTCAGTGGTAATGCACTCTTCCTAACCATTTTACATATGAGGAAACAAATTCAGAGCGGTCACGTCACTTGCCCAAGGGTAAGAAGTTAAAGTGGTAGGTTTAAACTTGGTCCTGGGGCACGGTGGCTCACCCCTGTAAGCCCAGCACTTTAGGAGGCCCAGGCGGGCAGATCGTTTGAGTCCAGGAGTTCAGTCAGCCTGGGCCACCTGGTAAAACCCCATCTCTACAAAAAAACACCAAAACATTAGCCAGGCATGGTGGCGTGCCCTTGTAGTGTAGCTACTCGGGAGGCTGAGGCAGGAGGACTCCTTGAGCCAGGGAGGCAAAGGTTGCAGTGAGCTGAGATCACAACACTGCACTCCAGCCTGGAAGACAGTGAGACCCCATCGCAAAAAATAAAAATAAAATAAAATAAAAACTTGTTCTTTTTCTTCTTATCATTCAGCCGACTCCAACTACCACTGGCCCTGAACTATCTGAACAAAACTTACCAGTCACATATAAAATTCCACTCCCTTCCCTACCCCCTTTATTTTGCTGGTCATCTTCATATGCTTGTCTCCCTGGCTTCTTTCCCCTGCTCTCTAGATCCTTTTTCTGAGATGCTTTCCCTATGGTCTCCAATCAAAATTTATCACCCCCTCTTTTGGGCTGCTGCAGCATGTCTACTAATAAACAAACACGACTCTGAGTCCAGAGAGTTTGCAGGTCTGATTTCTAATAGCACCTGAAGGGCAGGACTTGGTCTTATTCACCTTGAAATTACCTGAACCTCATGCTCAGCATATGTCAGACATTGACTCCAAAGAAAATAATCCACAATGACAAAGTAGACTTACTCATGGAGCTCTGCCCGCTCAGAGAACTCCGAAGACTTTCTACAGAACCTCCAGCCTTGAGCTTGGGCTTCTCCATGTGTTCTGGGTCAGTCTGCGAAGGCGGAGGGGAGCTAGGCATTCCGTCAAGGCCTGAGTCCTGCCATGGGTTTCAACAAAATGAAAAAGTTCATCAGAGTGAACAGACGTTGTCTTGTAATTCTCAGTGACTTGGTCTTCAATGAAATCAGTCAAATCAATCTATACCCACATTTGATTCTATACCCAGTATTCTCCTCCTTTTAAGCCTACATCCCTGCTTTAAGTCGTGGCCAATGTTACCATTTATTAAGCACTCAAATATTATGTCTCATTCTCAAATAGGTATTCTTGAAACCTCCAAGAAAAAATAAAAGGCTTAGAGACTCAGCATACACAAAAGCCCAGTAACAAGGCTGGATTTCAAATGTAGATCAAGTACAATCCATGACTAATGGAATACCTGGAAGTGTAGTCAGAGGAAATTTAATCTACTTGGATGGGAAACATTTGCACTTTTAAAAAAACATTCGTTAAAAAAAAAAAAATTGGCCAGATTCTTGTTTCTATTTATACATTATTGGCATTGGCTAAAGAAGTACAAAATAAAAACCCAAATATACAGCAAACATACTATTTTCCAGTCTACAATAAAATTTCCATATGTCACTCTGAAGTTTTAGCTTTTTTCACTTTTCTAAAGTGTTGTCAGTAAAAAGCTGGGAAGTCTCTTTCAGATCAGAATCCTGATGAGAGTGACTCAGAAGTACTTTCTGCATTTTGGGTAGCTAATTATTACCCGCTCAGCGGCTCCTCGTTTGCACATTCCAGTATAGCACGCTTATTGGATTCGTGGTGCTGTATCAATAGACAATATCACACTTCGGAAAGTTTGCAGTGAGAACTGTTTACTTGCCAAAATAGAAAAGTCTCTGGCATACTTCATATGGCCATAGCCATGTGAGCACAAAACCAACTAAATGAAACCTGCTATTTGCATGTTGCCGAATCATCAGAAGGGCCTGAACCCAGCTCCGCAGGCCCTGCAAACATCTGAGGACATCAGCAATAGCAGCTTCTGATCCAACACACATTAGTGCTTTAAATGTAAGGAAAGTGAGCAAGCGACCTCAAAAGCAACGAGGAAAAACAGATATTAGGAAGTTACTGAAGCTACGAAGTATGAATTTCTTAAAAAGAAAAAAGAATTCATTCCTCCTTTCTGCATTATAAAATAAATAATTTTTTCCCATCAAAATCTTTTGTAATGCTTCTGAAAAAAGTACGCATTTGAAAAATAGCAATCGTAAATGTGGATCTCTGATATATTTTCAAATGCTTTTTAAAATTGTTAAAGTATTCATGACATGTTTATGGATTACCTACAATAGCAGGAACTACCCCAAGTGCTGGGCATATAGCAGTATCAGAGAAAACAAACATCCCTACCATAAGGGTTGGTATATTTACTAAAAAGTTTTTTTTGAAAACAACCACACAAGGCCGGGCACGGTGGCTCATGCCTGTGATCCCGGCACTTTGGGAGGCTGAGTGGGGTGGATCACAAGGTCAAAAGTTTGAGACCCGCCTTCTGGCCAACACAGTGAAAACCCGTCTCTGCTAAAGATACAAAAATTAGCCCAGTGTGGTGGTACACGCCTGTATTCCCAGGTACTCGGGAGGCTGAGGTAGGAGAATCACTTGAACCTGGGAGGCAGAGGTTGCAGTGAGCCGAGTCCACGCCATCGCACTGCAGCCTGGGTGACACAGTGAGACTCTGTCTCAAAAATAACAACAACAACAACAACAACAAACCATACACAAAGCTTTCCATTATTTTTTTGCTTTACAAAAAGTTTATAATGATCAGTTATTTCTTTTATTCCTTAACTTACATAAAATGACTGCTTTAAAAAAATAGACCTAAGCACGTAAGATTGCTATATTATAGTAAAATTATAGAAAAATGTCAAATTGACATTAAAATTCTGATCTTATGATCCATAAAGCAGAAAGCCTCTTGGAACATAAGCTTAACAGTTTTAGTAGCTGTTTCAATTTTGGGGAAAAGCAAACTTAATAAAGTGCTTTAAATTAGTAGCATGCTTTCACTAGCAAGCTGACTGCTCCAATATAGAATATAATATTCAATATAGAAATATAGAATCACTATCACTCCCTCACCCATAGGGACAAGAGAATGAAAAAAATAAAGAAAAAAATCCTGGATAAGAGACACTGAAGGTAGCCCAGACATCCCCTGCAGGGCTTATAAGCCACAGTTTCTCAGCCTGAGCACTGATGATTTTGAATGCACAGTTCTTTGCTGTGAGGACTGTCTTGTGTATGCTAGGATGCTTTAGCAGTGTCCCTGGCGTCTATCCTCCAGATCAGCATCCAACTCCCGGGGCATGGACCAGTACTCCTCCGTGGCCTATTAAGAACTGCGCCACATAGCAGGAGGTGAGTGGCGGGTGAGCAGGCGAAGCTTCATCTGTTTTTACAGCCACTCTCCATTACTCGCATTACTGTCTGAGCTCGACCTCCTGTCAGATCAGCAGTAGCATTAGATTCTCATAGAAGCACGGATCCTGTTGTGAATCGCACACACGAGGGATCTAGACTGTGTGCTCCTTGGGAGAATCTAATGCCTGATGATCTGTCACTGTCTCCCATCACCCCCAGATGGGACCATCTAGTTGCAGGAAAACAAACTCAGGGTTCCCACTGATTCTATGTTATGGTGAGTTGTATAATTACTTCATTATATATTACAATGTAATAATAACAGAAATAAAGTACACAATAAATGTAATGCGTGTGAATCATCCCAAAACCACCACCCGCCCCAGCTCCGTGAGAAAACCGTCTTCAGGAAACCAGTCCCTAGTGCCAAAAAGATTGGGCACTGCTGCCCTGGATGCTGGCAACATCCACTCCGCTTCACCCCAACCCAGTGTGACCATGGAAAGACACTGGCCCAGGGTCCGAGGAGCGAAATGGTACCCTCTCCCCACTTCCCCATGAGAACCACTGTAATCAAGCGAAGCAGGCTTTGTTTGAATCAAAGTGAGGCAGGTGTCGGCTGGCTGGTGGTGTTCAGTCACTTGCATGGAGCGATGCTTTGTTTTAGCTCACTGTGCCCACCAGAGAGCAGCAGCTGAGCAAAAATGTCTGCTTTCCCTGCTGTTTGTATTTGGAAGATAAAGTGCATTACCTACGTATTTCAAGCAGACAACCAGCTCATACACAGGCACTTCAACAGGCTACAAAATGAGTGCTATACAGTGCCAGACAGAGGAGAGTGTTTTGAAAATTGAATGGTCAAAATTACCTTGAGGCCCAGCTCTCCAACTCTCTTTACTCCCTCCACCCATGCAATTAAGATACAAAACAGTCATGCTTCTAGCAATGAAATTATAGATCTAGAGGGGAAAAATCAATTCTGTGATACCTTCCTTCATGGCCACAGATAGGGCCAATGAGGGAAAACACCCCTCTCAGAAACATTATTACCAAAGTCTGGTACCCAGGAAGAACTTTGAGGATCTGTGCTTCTAGAACAACTTATGCTATGATTGACAAGGCTGCTGTTCCAAAAAAAAAAAAAAATTGTTTCGGGTTTGATTCAGCTCACATCCATTTGGTAGCAACGCATAGTTTAGAAAATAAAATCCTTCCTTTGTGTTCAAATTTACAATGCTTATTGCACTAAAGAATAACCATTTCTTTACATGTCTACCTCTATCTAGACACAGAAGGCAAGTCCTGTATTTTGCATTCCTAGCACCAAGCACAGTGCTGAATAGTCCAAAGTACTTAATAAACGTGTGTTGAATTCAGTGTTTCTCTACATAAATAAAGCACGGACTTGCAGCAGATTAATGCCAAGGAATATGTGTATTTAGCTCCATTAAAAATCTCAAAAGGGCCATCTTCAGCATTTCCTGTCAGGAAGAACCAAGGGAACATTCTAGCAGGGAGCTGCATACCTGCTCAGAGATAGAGCTGCTGTACTTTTTAGACATCCTCTTTCTCATTGTCTCTTTCACTGATTTCACTTTTTTCCCAAGAGAGATGCGAGAGGCAGTAGGTGATTTGATGACTTCTTTGTACACAAAGTCTCCTTCTTTACCCTGTAAAACAAAATGTTGCAAGTACTATTAGTCACAGAAAATGAAGGCCGGAGCAGGTTTTACTGTTTCAACCATCCACCTCCTAGCTCTCAGAAATATTGGCATTCCTTAGGATCTTGAAGGTTTTCTTGTGTTAACTCAGTGCTGTTATTTATCTCTTTGATGAATTGACTATGGGGCTTTTTGTTTGTTTGCTTAAAGTGAGGTGTGAGTCACTTTTAATTTTACTTACTTTTAATACATTCTTATTTGGTTATATTTTTTCCACTATTTTTAACACCCAAGGGGACTGCATTTCATCAGTGAAGGGTGATTTGCATGAATCAATGTTCATGAATCCCATCAGTGGGGGACGAAGACAGGGATACTACTACTGAATTGTCCTGGGAAAGAGGTTAGAACAAATGGTGAAAGCTCAGAGCAACATCTGATTGGATTTCCATCACTAAAGAGCTCAGTGTGTAAATTTCCTTCTCTTTACAAACTAGATTGTGGTCTTCTCTCATTCTAGTTTGCATTTAAAAAAAAACACACAAAACTTTTCCCTGAGAAAGAAAAAAAAAAGAATCACACTTTCTCCATTTCTAAAAAAGATCAACAGCATAAAACTATTGGCTTTGGCCGGGCGCGGTGGCTCACGCCTGTAATCCCAGCACTTTGGGAGGCCGAGGCGGGTGGATCACGAGGTCAAGAGATCGAGACCATCCTGGTCAACATGGTGAAACCCCGTCTCTACTAAAAATACAAAAAATTAGCTGGGCATGGTGGCGTGTGCCTGTAATCCCAGCTACTCAGGAGGCTGAGGCAGGAGAATTGCCTGAACCCAGGAGGCGGAGGTTGCGGTGAGCTGAGATCGCGCCATTGCACTCCAGCCTGGGTAACAAGAGAGAAACTCCGTCTCAAAAAAAAAACAACTATTGGCTTTAGAATCAATATAATTTGATAGCCAAATAAAAGAGTTTAATTCTCTTCCAGGAAATTTTCAAAACACTTCATATATATCCCAGGTGGGTATTTTAGCTGACCTATGAACATAACAAATATAAAACATGAAATCTTCATTTTACAGTTTTATGACACAAACAAGGGACAAGCTGTAAGACTCACCTTCACCCTTGGGGTCTGAGAAAGCAAACTTCAGGGAACAAAATGTGTGTACCACCGTGATGGCCTGTCCCTAGACCATGACCCAGAAGCAGGTCTGAGAGGGCAGACACCTGGGACCTGAGGGGTCTGGTTTGCTTTGGCCCCACAGAGACTGGGTTCATTCCAGGACACCCCAGGCCACAAAACTCTAGGCTTAGTATAGGCCAGGCAGGGCCAGGTACTGGGCTCGTAATAAGACTGATGTCCCAAAATGCCACCACATACTCTTGGGGCCCAAATCACAGGGCTCCACTTCATGGCAATGTGTGCGTAGTAGTTACATGCTTGCAACTAGCAAGAAGAAAAGGCCGTGTGCAAAATGACTCAGACCACAGAAGCCAGACTTATCTGGATTTGTTATTTGAAGAAAACCAGAAGCAAAGGCATTAAAGGAACTGTGCTACTCTCAAGGAAGGGGATGGCGGTGAGAGTGGTCACCATTCACTGCATGTGGAACAGTGGAGTCTGTAAGATGAGTGAAATAGAGCTTTTTTCTAAATGTGATTCAGGATTACTAAGGAAAACATTACCCAGTATCCATTCTCAAAGATGCTCAAGGGTCAACTATTGTCAGCCTCATCGCCTGAATCCAAATCTTTTGCTTTCCTCTGACGTTACTCACCATTGGGTCAGAGTTATTACTGCCAATGTGCAGAGAGCGATTCGTCAAGTCAAATCCTCCAAAACTGCAGGTTCTCTGTGGAAAAGAGGGCAGGGCAGGAAAACTCCAGTTACGCTTAAGCCAGCCCACAGTCCTCCAACCCAAAAGCCCCCATTTGCGGAACATCTCTGCATCACAAATACACACACAGGATGAACGGAGAAAACGAGAAATGATGAGAAACAAACACATGATTCATGTCGTGAGGAAACTTCACTCATTTATCCCTTTCGGGGCCACTGGAACTTTGCCTGCCCCAGAAGCCTAGAATCCCCTTAACATGCAGAAACCAACCACTTAACAAAAGCCCAAACAACAACAAAACCCTCCATGAGTCCAGTGCTGTGAGATTCCCTGTCCCTAGCACAGAACTTCCCCTAACATCTGCTGCATTCAGTAGAGATAATGAAGGGATATATGTTAGAGGAGCCATGTGTTCAGGCATCTTGGAAACCCAGGTCTGAAATCCCACGGCTCTGACACCAACAGCAAGCTTTTCAAACAGACTTTTGTTTTGTTTAGTTTTCAATCGCTGAGAAGGGGGAAGGGGGGAAGGTTATGTTTACAGTTGTCCAATCAGGCCAAGAGAATTACTCACTCGTTGCTTCCCCATCCTAGCCAAAAATGCTGGTAACTTTCCCATCTAACTGCCCAAGTTAATGAACGATGACCATTTTCTCTCAGTGAATGAAGATGCCACATTTGTCCAGAAAGAAAACGGTTGATTCAGTGACTGCCTTTGACCACTCTTTAATTTCAATAGGAAAAATGCTGATGTTATAAAGAATGAAAACTTTCTCATCCTTTTAGGTGGTTGCAAACTTCATGGAACTGCTTAAATCTCAGTGATTTGGTATTTGCAGAACTTGGTTCAAGTTCGCTGCTGTTTTTCTAGTAAAGGCCACTGAATGACCACCCCGCTCCCCGCAACAAACATTGATGTTGTTACAATTAATTATCTTTAAAAAAAAAAAGTCAGTTATAAAAGTTTAATTGCAGATTCAGGCTTCAATATTTTGTATTACCAGCTTCTCAGAGAACTCTAATGAACAGCTATTACATGGAAGAAATGAACAGAAAAGTACAATGTATTAGGCTGGTGCAAAAGTAACCACAGTTTTGCCATTATTTTTAATGGCAAAAACTGTGATTACTTTTGCACCAACCTAATACACTATAAGCATTGCTTATTTAATATGTTTATATATGTATAAACATATAATAAAATATACACATTAAATTCATATAAGCATATTAAACATTATACATATATATAAATTTACTGAATTAAGAAAGTAAAAACATCCTAGAAGGAGAATGTTTAGGTTTTTGAAATCACAGAAATGTAGATGCAAATCCTGGTTCTCCCACTTACTTGCTGTGTGATCTCAGGTAAAGCACTTGCTTACACTCTCTGAGCTTTAGATTCTTCATTATTCAAATAACACTTATATAATATTTGAAACCTTCTAGCACACTGCCTGGCACAAGGTAGACCCTCTATGAATGTTGGTTTCTTCCATTACTTTTCATTAAGGCTGTCCTGAGAATGTGATAGTCACCCTGGCAGCTGTTATACTGAAGTTGAGGCTTAGTTCACATTATAAATATGCAAAGGCAGGGCTGGAGCTTCGTTCTGGGCCTTACAGTCTAATCTGGGAGTTCAACCATAAAACCGGAGCATTCCAGGAATGGGCCACAAAGTGAGAGATGGCCAGGAGGGTAGAGGGCTGGGCCAGGAGATAAGAAGCATTTCAAGATAACCAACATCAGGATGTCTCAAAGCTGCTGTTCTTCACCAATGCTGCTGCTGCTGTTGTTGCTGTTTTAAATAATCTACTACCGACTTGTTTTCTAATAGACATTATCCTAATTCTATATTAAATATCAACGGGCAATCTGATTTCTTTTATAGTCAATTTCACTGGACCTCTATTCTATAGAAAGAGAACAACCTTTCTACACCAATATATTCACCAACGTTATGACTACCTCTCAAGGCTAATTTTTAACATTAACTTTCTCTTTCCAGCTTATAATGCCATGTACGTTTCCTCTTTCTTGCAAAAGCAGTGACTTTATTCTAGTTCCTTTCCTGTGACTCAGGGCTTCACAGACACAGTATGGCGCCCAGATGCCTCATGACTGTATGGCTTTTGCATGTCCCTGCTTTAAAATACAGCATCTACTGCAACGCTGGAGCCCAAGTTATTTCTGATATGTATGAAATAACTAACAAAGAATTTATGTGGAAACTATGACTGCAATAAATTAGAATCTCATTTAGGTTTTCATATGCCTGTTGTATGCATTTATTTCTGAAATGAAAAACTTAAAGAATGGACCAGTTTTCTTAACTACCTAATAACTAAAACCTCTTCCAGTGATAGACTAAGATACCTGGAATGGACTCTTTTTTATACAGTGGAGGAGTGACAAAGAATCTAACAATAAACACTGCTTGAATTATTTTCTAACTTTTTCTATAAGATCAAGTAGTTCTTTAAATAGCATTCCTTCAAAAGAGAAAATGGACTGTAAAGAGAGTCATAAAAAATAAAGCAATACATGAACCAGTCTTTGGCATTGATGACCTAAATAAATGAAGCCTAAATGAATTTTTTTTTGTTCACACATCTCCTGTACAGATAATTATGAAAACGCTTTGGATCGATGCTTGGGATGAGGAGGGCTAGTCAATGGAATGCTCATGCAGTTGCAAACACATGTTTTGGGGTTGAATTTTAAAATGGACAAAATTGCAAAATGTCATGCATGTCTGTTCTCCCAAACAAAAATTGAATGACCAAATAAAATGCAAGACAAGTGACCACTTCCAATGGATACAAAGCATTATCATTTCCCTGAGGCTTCATCAAGCAAATACGGCATTTTTGAAAGACAAAAAGATTGAGGTTGAAGAATAAAGGAAACTTTTAGGCAAAATGAAAGAAATACATGACAAGGAAAATGGAAAATAACTTTTAAAATAAATCTAGCAAAGAAATATGATTAATCCCTTTTTTAGAAAGTTCTTTCTATTGCAAGATAGAACACTTACTTTCTCTTATATTCTCTGGATAATTAGAAAATAAAATTTTGTTCGATTGTACTATAAGAAAAGGCATATGCAAATATTTAAGTTCTTATTAAAACACATATTTTTGCAAGTGTTGAAACTGTCCATTAGTGTCTCAAGCTCACAGTATCTTAAAAATACTCAGCCTCTGACTGATAGTTGGGATAGGGATTACATAGCACCATGTTAGGTGGGGGCAGTGCCTGGAAATAAGCTTGCCCAGATGTTCATACTCAATGTCAGTGAAGAATTAACCACTGGCCCACAATGCTGATTAGCACAACTCCCAGCGATAGAACTAGAAACAAAGCCCTCGTGGAGTTATGGTATTAATCTGACAATAAATAACACGAGAAGCACATCAACAATTCGAGGTGCTCAAATTGGGAAAATTCTCAGTCTTACATGATGTAAACTCACAGAGGTGAGTCATCAATTAACAGAGAAGAAGTGGGTCGGTTCTATCAAGGTCATGTCAAAAGGTACAAGAGCAGGGGAACTGGGTGGAACACTTCTGAAAGTAAAAAATAAATACATAAAACTAAGACTGGTTAATTTTCAAAATATCTGAGTCAGAGCAAACAGAGGCTGAATGGGTGAGAAAGAGATTGTTATTTTAAAACAAAAGCTCAACCAAGGAAAAACTGTTGCCAGGATGCAGAAAGAGCCAGAAGAAAAGTTTCTGCTCATACCAGTAGTATTAAAAGTGCTGCAGGAATTATATGAATATGAAAAGACAGAAAATAAGATCTAGGGAAAAAGTTCAACATGTGGAAATATCTGGAAAACCCAGGGGCTAGGAAGGACCTAATGATTCTTTTACAATGGAGAAGGGCTTTTTAAGGAGGGCATTGACCAACCAGTCTTCACTTTCACAAAAGCAGAACTTGACTGAATGAATTTAAATTACACCAATCGTCTGGGGAAGCACATCCTGTTCATGAATGTGAAGGCTCCTGGGAAAAGCCACTATTGAAGGATACTCTATTTTTTTCAGATCTTTAAAAGGGCCCACAGCCAACCGTCCCGAGCAGATTAAGCAAGATGCCAGGTGACAGAGGGCCAAGAGCTCTACTTCCTCATTTTGCACCATTTTATATGGGCCACTTTGCAAACTAAAAGTTAGGTGGGAATTTCAGAAGGAAAAATGTCTATATTCTGAAGTTCAGAGTAAATCATGCCTTGAAAATAAATCTTACTAGGTCTCTGATCATCTGGTATTAAAAGTGAAAAACATCCTATTCTTTGAGAGTGAGTCCTTTCTTGCTTGCTGCATAGAGAAGAAACTATAGGCTAGGGGAAGGCATTTCCAAATGTTGATTTGTTTAAAAAGATAAGAACATTGAACAGACTTAAGTAAAACAAAAAAGCTCCCATTTTTTTTGTTAGATTTACGAACTTTCTGCTTGCCTCTACTAATAAAAAAAACCGAATTGGTGACCGTGATGATGGCAGTTTTTCCATGAGCCTGCTCCTATTGTTTTAATTTTAAAACCAAGAGCAAGCCATCTCTTTCAAGGGCAAAATGCCCTTCTGTTTTGAATCAGCCTCTTTGAGGTCAAGTGACACGATGGCCGAGAATCAAGACAGCCACCCTTAGAGGCAGCCAAACCCCGCCCCTGTATCCCGGAAGCCCCTCTCTGGATCAGCTTCAATGCTTATTTTAATGGGAACTCAAACAGCTTCATCTGGCAAGAGGAGACATGGAAGAGAAGGAGAAAGGTGCCTGGAAGTGAAAGCAGGGTTTGAAATTGAAGGTGATGGTGGGATGGTCCCTGACGTCATGAGTAGCAGAGAGAGGGGAGGAAGCCGGTCCCCGCAGAAGAAAGGCCATAATGCTTGACTGCACATCACAGAAATGACAAGGCCGTCCTCGGGACCATCTTTACGACTCACAGACTTCTGGTGGATTCTCAAGAGAACCCTTTTAGTACAGCGGTCGACCGTGGCGGCCCACTTCCTCTTTGCCTCCTCATCCTCCTCCAGCAGGCACCGCCTCAGGTCCTGTCTCTCAGCCTTGCTCAGGGTCCTGTCTGAGGCAGGCCGCACTAGCTGGGTCAGGTTCAGGTGGCTGTACAGGCTCCGCTCCACCACATAGGTGATATTGAACTCGCTGACCGAGGTGCGCCCGCGCACCCTCCTGCCGGGGAAGCCGCAGCTCCCGCCCCCTTTGCCTTTCTGCCGGAGCAGCTGCAGGTCACAGGTGGTGCTGGCGACGCCTTTTCTGGAGGGACGCTGGCAGAGAAAAGCTCTGGAACAGGAATAATTAGTATCCGTTTTCTTCAAGCGGATTTGCTTCCGCACACTCTGAAACTCCTCCAGGGACACCAGCAGGTGGTGCCTGCGCCGGCGGTTGTCATAGAAGCAAACACCATCCGTACTTACCCCGTGGCTCAGGGACCCGAGACCCTTCTTCATCTCCCCCTCGGTGAGCGAGCGGGACACTTTCTGGGCCTTTTCTTCTTCTGGGTAGGAGAAGAACGTCCCCATCTTCTTGGGGGGCTTAATCAGGCCCCGACTCTCTCCCTTGCTGAAGGTTTTGACCAACTTCCGGCCAGCGCCCCAGGTGTCCAGGCTGCTGGACGATGGAGACGTGGTGAGAGAGTCCGAGTCATCTTCGGGAGGTTTCTCAGCAGAGCCGTCAAAGAAAAAGGGCTTCTTGTGCACGCCAGAGTAGAGGGCAGACCGTTCATCCAGGACTGGCGAATTCTCGAACACGTGCTCCTCCCCACCTGCAGGGGAACCAACAGAGTCTCTTGTGAACACAACTTTCCAGTCTTGCATTACATTTTTTTTTTAAGGGACGGAGTCTGAGTCTGTCACCAGGCTGGGGTGCAGTGGCAATATTTTTGGCTTGCTGCAACCTCCGCCTCCCGGGTTCAAGCCATTTTCCTGCCTCAGCCTCCTGAGTAGCTGGGACTACAGGCCCATGCCAACACGCCCAGATAATTTTTGTAATTTTAGTAGAGACGGGGTTTCACTATGTTGGTCAGAATGGTCTCGATCTCTTGACCTCATGATCTGCCCGTCTCGGCCTCCCAAAGTGCTGGGATTACAGGTGTCAATCACCACGCTCGCCCGCATTACATCTTTCTTTACACACAACACCCTGCGAAAAATAAGCTCACCCATATAGCTAGCTAGCCTACAGCGGTATCTTTCTCTGTATCATGACCCTCTTTATAAACCCAGCTCCCCCTTAAATATGCACAGAAAAATGAAAATATACTGTGCAAATATATGGTTTCACACAAGCTTAATGTTAAAAGGTTTCAGATGTGTTTTCTTCTACCTTATATATCTCTGTAGACCAAACACCTTCACAGGCATATTTAAAACACCATTTGGCAAAATCTAAGCTAGCCATAATCGGGATATGCCTTAGCATTTCGAGATAATGTCCTCCCCAGTTTGTAAATGCAACCTTCTGAAACTAGGAATCACGATCTTGCCCCCTTCTGAAAGGCGCTCCTTTATGTTGGCTCTGGTGCCTTTTTATAGTTGGAGTGTGATGAATGCCATGCAGCTGACAGCGATTGTTTTATTGGTACATATGCCATTTGAGTGATGAAATCTCCAAGGAAGTTTTGCTGGGGAGAAACACTAAAAAGGGCTGCATCTTGCAAATGTGACTGATGAATTGTCTCCAGCTGACAGGCCAAACGCAAAAAGTTAGGGAACTCAGTGATTGCGGCCAGATATTCCCATCAACTCGGGCCTCACGAGGAAGCAGCAAGGGCGTTTAAGGGCCCTGACACGCAGGCAGCTCCAGGGTCCCGCTGGTCTCAGGGATTCCAACTCTTGAAGCCCTCATTGGAGCCAGGTGGCAAGCCAAGCCCTCCAGGGCCCAGTGGAAAGGTTTGGACTTGCTGGCAGGAAAACCGAGTTCTTTACCGCATGTGTTATGTGAACAGATGTGAGAAAAGAAGTAGGTCAAACTGTGGGTGTAGTGATCCCAACGGGCTGTGTCCCTTTAATTACAGGGAAACTTTGAGCTCTGCAGCTTTCCACCCGCTGAATTGTGAAGAGGAAAAAAGGAAAAGTTCCTTGGAACAGAAGGATGGCATTAAATATACCAGCTGGGACGAGGGCGCCAGTGTGCAGTTTAATGTCAGAAAAAAAGGGAGAGCTACGCTCAGTTCAGAGCAAAACTCAGAGGGGAAAATAACCGCAGTCGTCCTTTAAAATTCTAAGAATGGCTTACTTTCCCAATTGATAGGATTTAGAGATACAAATATAACAACAACAAAGAATAGCTGCTATCAAATACAACCCAAGGTCAACTTACATTCATCCAGGAGGCAGTGGTGGGGAGGGAGGGAAGTGAGAAAGAAGATGTAAAACTCCGCCTGGCCCAAGTCCCCTGAAGAATTGTTCAGAGATCTTTCAGGGGGAGTTTAAAGGCAGGGTTCAGGGTTCTAACAGAAATTCATCAGTCCAGGGGCAGGATACAAATGTCCTGGAAGTTTCCTGCTCCTTCCTCGGGACACCTGACTGAAAAAATGTGGAGACCAAGGGTTCTCATGCTGTTGGAAATAAAAACAGCAACCTCTTCTAGCTGCAATCTACCCTCCACTTCCAAGAAGAAGCAACTGAGCCAAGACAAGAGGCACAACTTGGGGCAGGGGCAGCCCAACCATGGACTTCTCTGTTAAAGAAGGCGGGAGGCCAAGGCGGGCGGATCACAAGGTCAGGAGATCAAGACCATTCTGGCTAACATGGTGAAACCCTGTATCTACTAAAAATACAAAAATTAGCCAGGTGTGGTGGCACACGCCTATAATCCCAGCTATTTGGGAGGCCAAGGCAGGAAAATCGTTTGAACACAGGAGGCAGAGGTTGCAGTGAGTCGAGATTGCGCCACTGCACTCCAGCCTGGGTGACAGAGCAAGACTCCAACTCATACACACAAAAAAAGAAGTCAACATGCTTGTGGTTTCACCATCTACCCAGGTGTCCACACAGATGTGCAAAGGCACCCACAGTCTTAAGGGGTTTCAGAGAAGTCAGGTGGGTCTACCCTGCGTATCCTAAGGATCTGTCACTCAGCAGCTGCTTTGGACATTTTCTGGACTTTGTGCTTAGGACTGTCGTCAGAGATTCCAATACTTCAGTGTCACATCTGAGTCTGGAACCAGCTGGTGCACGCATGCCCATGACGAATGTAGCTCTACTCTTGGGTTCAGGAAAGTCAGCATCTGGTAAGAGGTTGGGAGGGAAATGTGGCGGACGCTTCCCAAGTGGCTGCATCCACTGGCACCGAGGGCAGGCCTTCTGCAGTGCAGGCTTTTCCGTCTGGGCCTGACCAGCGGCCTGGAATCCTAACCTTGACCTGGACCGCTTGAACTTGGAGCATCATTTCCTCCATCTTCTTCTGACTTGAGTGTACAACTCTCCTATTGGAAGAGTGGCCCTCAAGATGAGCTCACTCCATCACATTTGGTGTGATTTGCTTCACGTAAAGGCCTCCATCTATCTTAGCTGAGGCCGGCTTACCAAAGGCAAGGTAATTCTGGCAGGAGGAAGGAGGCAGGCTATGGGCTGACTTAATGCCAGGAACTCAGAGGTATGCTCTGCATCCGGCCTGGCTCTGCCACTCACAGCTCCCTGACCTTGGGCAATTACTTCCTGGCCCTGAGCCTCTGTTTCCTCATCTGCAATAATGCCTACCTATCTTTGCCTAATATCCCTGGCAAGGCTGTTGTGACAATAACACTGTTATTCCCACAGAATAGTTATGTGGAGGTGCTGTATAAGCCGAAAAGCTTTCTACAAAAACTGGCGATTTGTTACTGGAGAGAACTGAGTTGGAGCAATGAGGGGAGGAAAGGGGTCCGCCGTGGGGCAAAGACAGAGAAATGGGCAGATAAAGGGCATTGATGTAACCTAAAGATTGACCAGGGTCGTCCATGCCGGGATAAGGACTTGAAACCCAAGATGCAAAGGTGAGAGTAAGTGAAGAACTGATCTCTCTGCTGGCGTTCTGAGGACTCCAGAGCTGATGGGGGACAGAGGTGGCAGCGGAGTGAGCACAGGCTGCTGTCAGGGAGCAGGCTGCCTGGACATCGTGCTAGGCCTTCTGCTGGCTGGCTGAGTGGCCAGGAGTCAATTACTTAGCCTCTTTGAGTCTCAGTTTCCTCATTTACGAAATGAGGATGGCATAAGTGCTTGCCTCTGGTGGCTATTCTGAAGGTGACATTAAAGAGAACATAAAATCTGAAGTGTTTAGGAAAGTGCCTGGCACCTGGAATGCCCTCAAGAAATGATAATTACCATGCAGACAACATGGTATTAGCACAGCCACGCAGGAAGTCAAAGGATCAACCCTTTGTAAGTCCAAGGGCAGGGAGAGGAGAGGCTCCTGGAGTATGAATCCTTCCTGCTTTGCAAGATGAGAGAGCCAAGGTGGCCTCTCTCAAGTACCCTCGCCAGGTGAGGACCCTCAGAGAGTTCTCCGTTGTGCAGGGCTTGGAGGAAGTTCCAGTTTAGCAGGGACTGAGGGGTGACCCAAAGCAGATGCCTTGCTATGCACACACCTGGGGCTTCTCCTGAGAACACGGTGAGCTTGGCCAATGGCACCTCGGCTCCCCGACTCATCAGATGCCTCAGTGTACCTTAGGACTTGAGCTCACTAAATCCATCTGTGAAGCCTGATTCGTGCCCAGATGAAGTGAAGTTCAGAGCCAGAGTTCCATCTGGTTATTACTTTTTACTCTAGAGTTACCCCTTTTGGTATATTTTTCCTTTTCCATTGATGCTTCTCAAAGATAGTTGGATTGATTTATTCTGAGATAAATATGCAAATTACAACGTCTGTATTTTTTATCACATTATTCTAGTGGAAAGGCTGCCTTCACACACCACTACCACGTGTGAGGGGCCCACGGGTGAACAGCCCAGGACTAGTTACTTTACCAACGTTACCTCAGTTATGAATGAGCCCCATCCATCTATTTGTTATATCTGGGACTTGATTTTGGCCTAGTGTTCATGAAATTTGTTATAAAATGTGCCCTTAAAGTTGAATGTTGGCAATTCCATATGGTTCTCCCTAACAGTACCAGGTGACACTGTCTGTGATTTCAGTAAGAGCTGCCACAGGGTACATTCCATACTGTGAAATTCATGACTGCCAGGCAGGTATGAAAACACCCAAATGTAAAATCAGCATTGCATCCAAATGTAAACAGAATTACCGTGAAAAAAGACACCCTAATGAAACCCCAGAATTGAAAACAACCCTAATTTATGAAATTGGCCATAAAGCTGATTTATCTCCCCATGTTTTTCTTTTCCCTTCTAATCCCCATGCTCTCACAGATATCCGCTTAGCTTCAGTATTATTCTAAGGGATTTAAACCCACAAATGATGACAAACAAAAATTAATTAATTAATTAAAACAAAAATTAAAAACAGCAATATAAATGAAAAACCTTTATCTTTGCAAATAAGGGGAAATTCATTTCTTTACACAGCTTGATTTTATCTCTATGGAACAAAAAGGCCTCTACAAAAATAATTTTAAAACCTACATGTTAAAATTTTGAAATTCCTCACAACATAGATATGACATTTTCACAACTAATGTGTTTTTTTTAAAGCATATTCTTTCCAGTATTTTTATCCAATTCAATTATTATCATTTTCAAACAGAAAAATCTTCTTCTTTTATTTTGCCTTTTTGGGGAGAATTTTTAAGATGCCGCAAATGCACTTTACTACAAGGGAGATGAATAAGGTTCAGATTTGAACTGCCATAATTATACTTCAGAGGCTAACTATCCACGTCAATAAATCCAAGCTGATGTGTCTTTTGACACTGTTGTTTCCCCTGGCTAACCCAGCAACACAGCTCTTAAAGATTCCCTTAGAATCCCAGATTTCTTCAAGCCTCCATTTGAATGGAAGAACAAATCACCCCTGAGAAATTTAAAGGGATGTCAAGTGCCTTGATTGTTAGACATTTCTTCAAGATGCGTGTATATCAAATTTGAACTAAAGTTCACTGAGCAAGAACCACAGTCCTTTTTGGGATTGGAGGCTCATTCAAAAAAGTTAGAAAGTGTATATAAAATGGTAGAAGCTCATACATGAAGCTATACCACACCTTGAGAATATTTCCATTTCCCATCGTTTCAGTTTAAATTACTAAGCATCCCAAACGCCTGACGCCAGGATCCTTCATTCCACCACATCATCGCATCTGAGCATCACTCTTCCAGCAGGCACAGTCCTGCCAGACTCTGCCAGAGCTCCACGCATTTTCCACTTGAAATCGTATCCCTTTTCTACTGAGAAACTGACCCCCAAATGATTTCTTTTGGAATAACCAGGGTGGAGTTCACCTTTTTTTTGTTTGTTTGTTTTTTTACCTTCAGTGCTGGGCTTTTTCATTTCTTCCACCCTAATTAGTTTCTTTCTGACTCTGCGAGTGGAGTTTACCAGCTTGTGTAACCTCTTAAACTTCACCGACTCCTCGGTCTCATCATCCGATTGTTCTCTTGACTGGCAAAGAAACAAAGGAAAAGTTAATTAGATAATTGCTTCAAGCTCTGCTCGAGGGGCTGGATGTAGCCAACCCTGCTGCCAGTCTGAATCTTGGCAGCTCTGTTGCTGAACTTGGGGAATCAACAAATTTGTTCAAGAGGTTGACAAAGCTCCACATATCATCTTAAGGTCTAATTCAGTGTAGAATTAGGTCCTAGGCACTGAAATGCACATTTTTGCCCTCGACAGGCCTGTGGGGGCATCTGTCTCAACTACTTCCTTGTCCCCTTTGAGGAGGATTCCGGCAGGACTCTCCCTCCAGCGCTGGCCCTGTCATTCCAGTTTCACTGCTGTGGTTTGGGGCAGGCTCTCATCTGTCTGGCCCATCAGGACTTGCTGTTTAACGTGGTCATCAAGTATTCTCCAAACCAAAATTCTGTTGACTTTTTCTAGCCCTCCCCCCGAAAATCAAAAACAGCAGGGCAGGAAAGGGAAGGAGATGCAAAAAGCCTCTTCCATCTCATTGGCTAAGACTGTCTGCCACATTGCAGCCAGCCCTTCTACCTCTCTCGGCTTCTTCTGAGGGCTCACAAGGCAAATGTGAGGACAGACCCTGCATTCCTCCAAGAGAGACAAGGGAAAAAGTTGACCTTTCAGCCATACAGTATAATCCATATTCCCCAGCAGCCCATTGCACTTTGCAGGGAGCCAGCATGCTCAGGCCCAGCTGTTTTCCCTCAAGTATCAAACATTACAGAGAGAGGGGAAAAAAACTCTCTCTGCAGCAGTGACCCAAGCTAAAAACAATCCTTTCCTTGTGAACAAAATGAGAGTTTCATTTCCAAGTCAGCTCCAACATTCAATATGCAGCTTCCTCTGTTGTATCTGTTCAAAATGTGAAACAGCAAAAGAGGTCTCCGGCTAAATGAACGTGCAGCGCGAGTGCGTAGGCATGCCTGGGAGCAGCCGCCTTGGCACACCCCATGTAGCGGGTCAGCGATTCCAGCTCACGTCGCCCGCCCCAACAACAACCTTCTCCATTTCCTCCAACCCAGTTCGTGGACTAGTAAGAAGACCAATGCCTCAAATGAACACAAAACAAAAACAAGTGCCATCTCTGAATACAATCCTAACGTAGAGACCTCTCCCCAAGAAAAGCTCTCGCTAATCCCGATGTTATAGACAATAAAACAGATAAGCAAGAGTTTGCAGAGAACCGCTCCAAAGAAGAAGAGGTAGAGTTTCTATGCATTACTTAGGCATATAAATGGCGTGCATTGTGAGTCCTCTTTGCACTACGGCACAGACCTTAGTACAAGGATAGTAAGGGATAAAAACAACTGATTTCCTGGCTTCTGTCTTCACCCTGGAACTCAAGGCATGGAGCCATGGTACTTTCTCCCTGTATGACTCTCAGCAAGCAGTTTACCCACTTATGGTTAACTATAAACCTAACATCAGCAAGTCATCAGGACAGAAGTGTTTCTCAGACTTCTCTTCTGTGAAGTGTATAAATTATCTATGTCCAATTTCTCTACAATTCCTAGATGAAATGTTGGCTGCAAATGTCAGAGTTAAAGTACTGGTTACCTGGTAATAAAAAATAGAAACTGGGCTCCCAGGTAACAGCGGAGAGAGGCTATGCTGGATGCCGGCAGTTAGCTTAAAACTTAAAATGTAAAAAATTAAAATAAAATAGTAACTATAGCTCCTAATACAGAATAGGATTGTCTGGTTTGAGTTTCATTTCTGCTTGGTTGGATTGTTGACATGTGATGAAACGGGTGGAGTGGTCAACCAGAGGAATGAGAACTTGGTTAACCCCCATTCTGGGTAGGCAGCACCTGAAAAACCCACAGTGCATGGAATTACACATAAACATTTAAAAACATTCTGCCCTCTTGGTGTAGCTCGAAAGACAAGCCATTCTAATAGAAGAGGAATCAACATATGTTATAGAAAGTCTCTGTACCTATCAATGGGACAAACTTAGACTATGTCTCTAACTTTCTATTTTTCTAGAGATCAAATGCAAATGAAATAGGTACAGATTGTCTGTAATCAAAATATAAGAAGCTGTGTTACAGGATGAAAATTACTGATGTGTATACTTCATACCTAGCTTGCTGGTTGCTGGTGGTGGTGTGAGGGTGTGTGTATATATGGGATAGTGGGCAGTAAGAAGAAAAATGAGGTATAGAAAAAAGCAATAGAAAAATTGCAAATCATTATGTGTATTTGAGTGAACTTGCCAAGTTGAAATCAAAATGGTTAAACCAGGACAGGAGGCTTAAAGGTAATGCCTTCCTCATAAAGTTCCACTTTCCTCTGCCCAGATTCACTGTGGCAAAAAGTAACACATTCCAGGTACTTATTTAATTGTTTTCACACGTTCCATTTATTTTTGAGAAACATGAGCTCTTCATACCTTTGCATTATTTTATTTTTATTTTTCTAGAAAAATCAAGATTTGGAGGTGTTTGTCATTGACAAATCACAAACCATGGCAACCAAGACCTTCTGTTCCATGATCATGTTTTGGACACTAGACAAGACAGATGTGCCACAATTTATATGAAGAAAATTGCAACAGAAAACTCAGGTCATTCAAGGGGTGTGTGTGTGTGTGTGTGTGTGTGTGTGTGTGTGTGTGTGTGTGTGTGTGTGTTTTAAATAGAAAATTTCCTAGAAGTCAGGTTAGAAGTTACTTGAGTTCAACAACCTATCCCAAGAATGCATTGCTGTATTCATGATATTGATGGAGAGGTGTTGACTTCTCACTTCCTTCTGAGTCCAGAGGAAAAAAGGGTTGTAAAATATTGGCCTTTAAAAAATTCTCTCCAGCTGTTTTTAATACAAAAACACTGTAAAAGGCTTGCATTTTTTCTAAACTGGAGAGTAAATCTTGAATTCCTCATGTCATGTTTTTCTTTTTAAGTATATTCCACTTCCCAAATGCTGAAAATAACATAGCGTGTCCTTTTTTTTTTTTTTTGAGATGGAGTCTCACTCTGTCACCCAGGATGGAATGCAATGGTGTGATCTCAGCTCACAACAGCTTCTGCCTCCTGGGTTCAAGCAATTTTCCCACCTCAGCCTCCCGAGTAGCTGGGATTACAGGCACACAACACCATGCCTGGCTAATTTTTGTATTTTTAGAGACAGGGTTTAGCTATGTTGGCCACGCTGGTCTTGAACTCCTGACCTTAGGTGATCTGCCTGCCTCGGCCTCCCAAAGTGCTGGAATTATAGGTGTGAGCCACCACACCCGGCCAGCAGGTCTTTTTATTCAGGAAATACACCACCAGGGATGAGGGCTTGGGAATTTTTATATTTATAAACATAAAAAATACATAATGTTTAATTTCAAATACTATGTATATTTTAAAAGAAATCTTCCTACGTGAAGAACTTCGTAGAAGATAGAGGAAATCTGACTGTATATAAAATAGATGATTCTAAGAAATAGACTCAGCACTATTATAGAAAAGGCTTTAAATGAATTAAAGTGAAAAAATAAAAGTATATGTTCACACACATTCAAACATGAGATAGTGTGGCCTCCCCTCCTGTCCCACCCTGGGTCAGAGTTAAATGGATCATCTTCTAAACGAGAAGGTGAACTCAGTCATCTGTAAGACAGCTACTCACCAGAAAACCTTCAAGAGAAAAAGGCAACCTATCCCACCAAAAACTGTGGAAAAGTGGATTTCCAATACTGTAAACAGAAATATTTGATTTCCAGCCTCTCCTCTGCAGATTTTTCCAGCAGAAAGCCCATATGGCTCAACTTTTAATTACTTTGGCTAATGCTATATGTAGTAATTCTGTGGTGAATGCTTAAGTGTTTCATTTCTGGTTTCCATAGCAACATTACATCAGATTGCAGACAGCTGGCTCCACAGTTTTAAACCATAACAAATTGACCAAGCCAAGACACAAAACTATAGCTGCTTTAAAGAGATAGTACACCATTCGCCAGCCAGGCCGCTGAATGAGGAACCTATGGGGCCCGTTTGGCACTCAGAGGAGGGTGGAGCCTCCTTCCTTCCCAGCTTCTTTTGGAACAAGTGCATCCTTGACACATCTGCAATGTTCTAATAGGAAAGCCATGGAGCCAGCGTGGAGAACGTTTTATAACACAGCCACATGCTGGATGATCAGAAAAAAGGAACAAAATGAATAGCATCTGTAAGTACAAACATTTGTGTGCCGGAGCTCACTGAAAGCATCCCCTCACTGCTCCAAGAAAGCCTGTGGTTGCTGGTAGGTAACAGATACTTCACCGGACCCTGTAACAAACAGTTCTTGGGACTACAGTGTGCAGAGCAGATTCTTTCCAAAAGCCGTACGGCACAGTTGTGCGGGCACAGTGGCAATGTGCTCTAATAAAGATGACAACAAACTTGCGAGGAGCAACTAGATTCTTTGGAGGACCGCACGAGACCACGCTGATCACAGATTACAACTGTGCCCTTTGCAGAAGCACTCTCACTCGGCTGGTTTCCCTTAGACACGCTGTCACTATTAACACTGAGACTAAGCCCACTTATCACTCCCAGTGCCACATAACACCCGGAGATATTTAAACATTTCTGAAAAGCACTTTGAAACTGGAAATGTACTTGGTTGTGAAATTCACACACTGGTCTCTCTAACCTAGTGCATGATCGGACATACATACTTCAGCTTTCTAGGTCTGCTTTGTCACAGCATGAATCTTAAAGTTAAGACAAGGAAGCCAATCAAGTATAAGCTTAAGAAAAGCAATGTGCTAGGTGTCATGAGTGGCGGGGGGGGCGGGTGGTGAAAAAAGAAAAGAAAAGCAATGTGCAACACTGTCTGAATTCAAGTCCTCCCAGGAAAAGCCTCCACAATTCACAGCTGAGCCATATATGCTCATTTTCTCAAATTCTCAAAATAAAATCTGCTATTCTCCAAAAGTTATGCATTTTCACTGGTGAACACACAAGGCAAAAATGCTCAGGATTACCAGGTAGGGGAGAAAAAAGGGAAAG